CCGCCGGGGGAGGAAGAGGCCGCGGCCCCGGCAAGGCGGCCGCAGCCCCGGCCAAGGTTCCGGCGGGCCGCGGCCGCGGTCGCGCCCGTGGCCGCGCCGCCTCCTCCGGCCGCGCCGGCGGCAGGCAGGCTACGCTCAACATGTCGGGCGGCGGCGGCGCCGACTCGGACGACGACGACGACACGCTCTTCGATGAGCCAGCCAAGCCCGCGGGGCCGGCGGCGGGCAAGAAGCGGGCTGCGCCGAAGCGCAAGGCAGCGGCCGCCCCTCCGCGCTACGCCGGCGCCGACGACGACGACGTGAGCGAGGCGCGGAGTCCCCGCCGCACTCCCCCGCTCCCTCTCCCACCAGCCAGCCCGCCCCCCCCCCCCCCCCCCGCCCCACCTCACCCCACGCTCCGCCCCACTCGCAGGATGACGACGACGCGTCGGTCGCGGCGAGCAGCAAGCGCTCCTTTGCGAGCAAGCGCCGAATGAAGTAAGGTCTGCCGCGACTGCGCTCAACGGCCGGGAGCTGTGACCACCCTTCCTTTCCCGCCGACGCGTGAGGACGGGTCTGGACGTGGGATGCCACAACATGTACATGTGGCTCCAATACCTGTACGTACACGGCCATCGCATCGGCCGTTTTGGTCGCGTGTCGCCCGGAGCCTCTGCTGTACTCCGCTCCCGCGTGACAGTTCACTGTCCGCGCCCTTGTTTTTTTCTGACATCCCGACTGTGTACCGACCGACTCCTACAGTATGTACTCGGGTCTCAAGATACTGTTGTTGCACAGGAGTGAGTGTGTGACTTAGAAGCTAAGACCTAAGTAACTTACTTTATCTATTATCTTTTTGTTTATAATTGTTCATCTGGAAGTAAAAGGTAAACTGAAAACTCGAAGCAGGTCATGCAAAACGGGCCCTGAGTGTCACCGAAACGCGTACACCGGCACATTGTCGGCCGATGCGCGGCTCGCCGCCCACCCCACGCGGTCCCTAGGTGTTATATAGCATAAACACCGTCCGTGCAGGGCTCCTAGGCCATCACTGGGTCCACAGTGGACGGACACACAGCCTCAGCCGGCCCGGCGGGCTCCCGACCAGAGCCCGTCCGGAGGCCACAAACGGACACTCTACCGACCTTTACACCCCTATACAATCCACTCCGACTAGCATACGGTGTCGTCCCGACCGCCCTGCGGCCCCAGCTACCAGCTGGCGCCGCTCGGCCCGGCTGGAGGCGCCTGGGACGCCCAAAATCGCGGAGCCGGCGACGTCCTCCGGCCAGCAGCCGGATCGGGCGTCCGACCCGCCCCCTCGGCGACCCGAGATGGTCTCCCCGACCCCCGAGGCTTGGCGCACCGCGGGAGGGGGGCAGCCCAGCCACCCTGCACCGCCCAGGCCACCCTCTGCGAGCCCAGGCGCGCCGTAGAGAGTGCCGACGCGATGTCGACGATTTTGGCCTGCGAGACGGGGGCGAGGAGCGGTGTGAGGGCGCCATGTGCCCGGGCGACGGGCTAAGGGGCCGCTACACGGGCCGCAGAGCTCACCAGCGCCGGCACGGTGGCGCTGGTAGCGATGGTGCTGCTTGTGGCCGCCTTTGTCAGTACCTGACCGAGGGCTGACTCGCGACGGCAACGGGGCGGCGAGCCGGGTGGCGGGGTGCGGGGAGGAAGGAGGGGACGCGCCACGAGAGGGAGGGAGGGGCGCTCTCACGTCTGGCTGGCCCGCCCCGGCCCCCACGGGGTCGGGATGGTCGATGATGCTGCTCTAGGCGGTCGTCCCGGGTCGCCAGACCGGTCCTGCGGCGGAGTAGGAGTGTGAGGGGCAGGGGCACGGCCGTGCGGCGGAGGGGACTCGCATCGCGCAGCTCGCAGCAGCCCGAGAGGGCCCGAGCCCGGCCAGAGAGTTGCCCACCACTCGGGCCAAAGAGACAGCCTCGCTGGAGCTGCGCCCCGCGGCCATTTTGTACGCCCGATGCACGCCTGACCCGGGAGGGGGGGGGGTGGTCAGAGAGACGCGGCGGGCCGGGGAGAGCGGGGACGCGCGCGCCTTCGAATACTCACTCGTGGCGCCGGCCGGCTCGCAGGGGCCGCCAGCGCCGCTACGGAGGCGCTGCCCGCCGGGAAGGTGCTCGGGAGGGGCGCTGGTCACTCCTTGGCGGCGCCTGCGGCCGGAGGGACGTGGGCTTCGGCGTGGCGAGCAGCGCGGGCGAGAGAGGGACGGCGCGCGGCTCCCAAACGAGCCGCACGGGCTTCGTCTGGGCCGCCGAGGCCAGCTCCTTGGTCGCGGCGGCGGGCGTGATGGCGAGGTGGGCCGAGGCAAGCGTTGAACGTGCCGCCTTGCGCCCCTGAGGAGGGACGTGCGTGCGTGGGGTGCCACGGGCGGGGGGGGGAGCGGTGAGAGGAGAGCGGTGGGCACCCCCACGAGGGCTGCGCGGACGCCGCCTGCCCCCCCGACCCCGCCACTGACGGTGTGGGGGCGGCACGGTCGAGGGCACTGGCCGAGCGGGCCGTCCGAGTCGCCAGAGCGGTGCTCTGCCGGCCGGCGGACGCGCCCGAGAGTGGCCCGATAGGGCTCAAATTACGGAGCCGCTCCCCGGCCGTCCCGGGCGCCTGTCACGCGGGCCGATGGCCCAGCCGTCCTGTGAGTGGCTGGAGCAAAGGGGGGAGAGCTCAGGAGGGCGACGGGGCAGGGAAGGTGGCGGTGATGCGGTGCGGCGGGGTCTACTCGGCGGCGTGTAGAGAGGAGGTGCTAAAAGGCGACTATAAAGAGGCGTCTACGGGTCGTATGGTGCGCCACGACGGCGGGAGAGCTCTCTCCCGCCGCCCCGCGGGCCGCCCCGAGGGGCCTCGCAGCCCATGCCCTCAGGCGCCGCTGTCGCGGGCAGAAGGGCCGCCGTGAAGGTGTCTCGGCCGCCATCTAGAGGGAGCCGACCGGTCGGGTAGGGGAGGCAAGCGCGAGCGGGTGGAGGGCAGCCTCGACCCACCTACGGCGTTGTCGTGTTGGAGGGTGTGTGGGCGACCTTCCATTGAGTCAGAAGCGTCGCCGCGCGCCGCCATCGCCCGCCGTGTGCTTCTTTGCCGGTGAGCGCGCGACGCAGGCACCTATCGTCAGAGGGGGGGAGGGTGAAACGCGAGCGTTTCGTCGACCTAGGAGCCGCGGCAAGCGGCATGTAGCCCACTGATAGCCCCGACCCAGGCCTCGTAGCTTCAGATCCCGAGCGCCGGGTCGAGATAGCCGTCGCGAGACCTAAACTCGAAAATAAAATGGTGAGTTCGCCGACTCGAGTACGGTGCCTAGTTTCAAACCATGCTGCGGGGTCGCAAAAGCGCGTATGCATTTTTGCACTTTCCGCATCCATAGCGGCCCGGCCACCGCTGACCGGTGGTCGACGGCTGTCGCGGAGCCCGACAGCCGCGACAGCGGCGGCCGGGCCAAGGAGGCGGCCGAGAGGGTGCTGCTCGTCGAGCCAGCGGCTGCCGCTGGCGACGAGGGGGGTCCGGACCCGCGTTTGGGGGCGGGTGGTGCACCGGCTCGATGCCGGGCGAGCGCAGCGCCCTCCAGTCGGAGCGGCTCGGGCGAGCTAGGCGGTGGCGCTATGGGCGTTTAGAGGGGCGCCCATCGCTTCTCGCAGCTCTGCAACGCTGACTTTGGGGTTTCGACGATACGCTCGCGAATATTTCTCAGATTTATTTTGCATGACCTGTAGAGTTATCTGAAGCACCACGAGAACAGAGCTGCTCTCTGGTCCCCTAACCTCCGTCCTCCCGTTCACGCACGTGTGACGCAGCGGCCTGGTCGTCGTGGAGCAGAGACTGCGGTCGGGTGCCCAGTCTGCCCAACGCTGCTGCCTCCATCACCGCCTGCCGCTCGGCGCGCTCCTCCTCCGTGTCCGAGAAGGAGCAGCCGACGCCAAACTTGTTGAAGCTCCCGCCGGCGTGGCGCAAGGCAGCACTCGGCTCTCGCTGGAAGCGCTCCCACGCCGCCTGCAGCTCGAGAAACGCAGGCTCCGGGAGGCCCGAGCGGCCGCCTGCAGCGTGTGGCTGGGCGTGGTCCGGGTGCAGCTCTTTAATCCGCTCGTAGTATCGCCGCTTGACGGTGTCTGCGCTCGCGGCGCGTGCGAGGCCGAGGAGCTTCCGCAGCTTGGAAGCCGCGTTGCTCATGCGGCAGCAGCAGTGCGGTTCGTGCCTGCAGTGCGTGCAATGGTTTATCCCACGCCACAAACCCTGAGTGCGCCGACCTGGCGCTGAAGCTCAAGGCGCACTAGTTTCACTCGGATTCACTCCTATGCACCTTCGGTGAGGGTACATTGGCGCGTAAAAGGAGAGTCACGGAATCGCGCGCGCCTCCACCAGGAAGGGCTACGCAGTATCCCTGACATCCCCTGGGATCCTGCCACTGAAGGCGGAGGGTTGGGACTCAAACGGCTTGGGTTGCTACAGGTACGGAGGGGACCTCAACGTCCTGTAGCCGCCCGCGGCGCCGTAAGGGATCGCACCTCGGACCAGATAGAGAGAACCACACCCCAAAGCCACCAGAGAGTAGGCAGGATAGGGTGGGTGGGGAGAAGAAAGAACTGATGCAGCCGAAGGGCTGGCGCAGTAGGAAGGAGAGCCTGGCGCGGCCAAGGACGAGGAGCGGCGTCATGGCCAGGTGAGCAGGAGAGAGCAGCGGAAGCCGCGCTCATCAGAGCAGCGAGCGGCGGGAGCGCCCGACACGCACGGAAGTTCAAACTTCCGTAAAAGATGAAGTAAAAGATGTCCACGGAGAGTCCGTGAAGGACGCAGAGGCAGAAGAAGAGGTAGGAGAGGAGAGGGTGAGTCTCCTGCGGGAAACTAGTGGCCTATCACGAGTTAGGGCCCCTACCCCAATCGTTATCGGCGGACTAGTTTCACTCGGATTCACTCCTATGCACCTTCGGTGAGGGTACATTGGCGCGTAAAAGGAGAGTCACGGAATCGCGCGCGCCTCCACCAGGAAGGGCTACGCAGTATCCCTGACATCCCAACGCGCAGTGGAGGAGGAGCGAGGGCAGGTGGCCCGGAAAGCCCAATGAACCCCACAGAAGGGGCAACTGGCCGTGGCATGGAGCCACAGAGGCGACAGCCAAATCACGAGAGGGGTGAGGCCGGTCGCCGAGCGTCCAGAGGCCGCCGGGAATCGAGCCACCACCGTCAAGGCGGCGAGGGAGAAAACACCACCCCACACCGCCGTCGAGGCGGCGAGGGAGAAGCCTAGAGAAAGGCGGAGGCAGGAGCCGAGGGAGCCACCGACTCGGGTCTCCAGGTGGACGAGGCCGCTGTGGCAGGGCCGAGGCGACCGCAGAGCATCGCAGGCAAGCAGATGAGGCCATCGCCCATCGTGCACTGCTGCCAAGGACAGTCGCCAGCAACAGCAACAATGGCGCAGACGCACAGATCCTGCACGGAGAAGAAAGAACTGATGCAGCCGAAGGGCTGGCGCAGTAGGAAGGAGAGCCTGGCGCGGCC